GCTGAGCAGGGAGCCCGATACGGGGCTCGATCCCAGGACCCCGGGATCACAACCTGAGCCGAAGGCAGACGCTTAACCGTCTGAGCCATCCAGGCGCCCTAAAACTGTTTTTAAAGACTATTGTCAAAAGATAATAGTTTCCTGAGATAATTATTTTTAATGAATATCACTTATTTGGATGATATATTTAAGAAAGATTATTGGGTTTTTCTAAGATTTTATTTAAATATTTGACACAGAGAGCACACAGCAGGGGGAGCAGCAGAGGGAGAGGGAGAAGCAGACTCTCCAGTGAGCAGGGAGCCCAATGTGGGGCTCAATCCCAGCATCCTGGGATCATGACCTGAGCCAAAGGCAGATGCCTAACCAACTGAGCCACCCAGGTGCCCCAAGAAAAATTGTTTATTAGATGTGTTAACTCATAGTCACTTCTCTTTTTTGTTCTAACAGAAACCTTAATAATTTTCAACTGGAATAATAAAGAAATAGATAGGATGTATTTTATTCCTCTCATTATTAGAATATATATGATACTTTTTTTTTTAAGTAGTCTCTGTGTCCAGTATGGGGCTCAAACTCATGAGAGTCACATGCTCTACTGATTGAGCCAGGTAGGTGCCCCTAAAATATATAAGATACTTTTTAATCCTAGCTTTAAAACTATATATAGCCTTCATGTAATGGAATAGTCCTAAATTGATGAAACCAGTTTTTCACTCTGAGTTTTAGGGGTGGCAACTTAGATTATAAAAATAACTCCATGCAAATGGATTTCTATTTTTGTTGTTGTCACATATTGATAAATGTATATTTTGTTTTCTGGTTAGATTTATTCTCCTGACCATACCAGCAGTAGTTTTCCATCAAATCCATCAACACCAGTTGGATCACCCTCACCTCTCACAGGTAGGCTTCTGTTTTATCTATTGACTTAAAAACGTGTATTGGGCTGCTTTGAAATATTTGAACTTTGTTTATTTTCCAATAAAATCTAGTAAAAATTCATGAAAAATCATCTGAATTTTGAGAAAACATGTAAACAGAGCCTTCCTCTTGTTCATTTTGAATATTGAAATATTTGCTAGTTTTGAATTATTCTTTTCTAATTCTTAATTTGGTATAATTTCTAAGAATGGTTGTTATAACAGGACAAAAATAAGGTTAGACAATTGGGATGAAAGCAAAATAGAAGGAGATAATTCAAAATTTTGGGTAAGGTAACATAGAAAGTAAACAGAATGCCCTATTTAGAAGAACATGTAACATCTTTCTTCCTTGTTCTCTGCCTTTTCCATGTACCATGTATAAGACTCAGAAGTGAATAAGTTTCTACTAGTTTGTCTTTATTTTTAGGTCCACTAAGTTATTATTTCATATATATATATAAATTCTTGGGAATAATGTAGCTTTTTGCTAAGGAAGTCTCTGTCAATGTGGATGAATATTGTTAGTGAGTTAGAGAAATGGTTCAGATTTGTTTTACTTTTTCCTGTTTTTTTCCACATTTGCTGTAACAAATTCCAGTCACTATCCTACAGTATAAATTTGTTGAGGTACAATTATTATTATAAATAGGAATTTTTAGACATTAGAAAGAAATAAAATTATAGGAAAGTGCTTAATATTTATTAAGCTATAATTTTAAAACTTGAATTATATTTTTCTGAGCAGTGTTTGAGAAAAAAAAAACATGCTGAAGAAGAAATATATTAGTTGTGAGGAAAAGACATTAGGCAGCTGGGTAAAAATTGCCTTACTCCTCCAGCAATTGACCTCAGCATTGATTCTCTTTTTCTGATCAAGTCATTAAGTAAGTCCATGTGGCTTTCTTGTTGTTGTTAAACCTTTTTGCCTTGTTGAAGGTTTCTGGTGTATCAGGGCCCTGACTGTCACCTGTGCTTAGCGCGTTGGCTTTGGGCCTCTGCTAAGAAGCGCTCCGGTGTAGGGTGTTGGACTGAACTGCTGGCAGCTGCTTTCGGCTCTTAGTGGGCTCGGCCACTCTCTCCGACCCCGTGGCTTCAGCTGTCAAGTACAAGTTGAACAGCTGTTCCCCACATAGACAGGACTATGAAAGACCCATTGACTTAAAGTTGTTATTTAACAGAGAGCTGAAATTACAGGAAGAATGATGTAACTTTAACCCTGCTCACCCTTCTGGCACAGTTTTACTAAAGCTATCAGTGTCATTTTTGCCACAGCCTGTTTCCCTTTCTCATCAAATGAGAATATCTGTCCTTACTGTGTGTTCCCACCTTCCCGCCTCCTCTGCCCAGTGAGCTGTAAAAGTATCCTTTGGTTTTTATTAATACTGGGTGGGAAGTCAGGCAGCAGAGGAGTTCAGCATTTATGAGGGGACATCACTAAAATGGAGAATCAGAGACTTAGACATTTTTCAAAAAATAATGGTCCAAAGTAAAATCTCACATTTCCTCCTCCATCTTTATTTGATGTTTAATAGGTGATACCCTTCCCCCCCCTTTAATCCAGCTCATTAATGAAAATCTATGGTCTGTTGAAGTATGTAATGAAGGTATTAATAGGCTTCTTTTTCCAATTCGGCAGTCATAATCGAAGAAAAATTCTTTCTTTCATGTATTCCTACTGAAACAGCACATCAAAGACTGATTTTATGCGAGTGCATCTCTCCCATCTCCTGTATCTAGTATTTCCATCCTGTCACCACACACATACATATACTACACACCCTAAATTGGCAGAAATGTAAAGGGAGAAGGAAAAAGGAAAGCACAATGTGATAAATTATTCAGAGGTGAAGGAAAAATGAAAAAGATGGAGCAAACCAGAGCTTCTATTATAATATGTGAAAGTTATTTGGTACCTTGTATTGCAGTGGCCTGTTATCTAGAGTAAAAAATTCTACCCCACTGTGTGCTCTCTACACTTGTCCTATTCTCTATGCCTGAGCATCAGTCAGACTAGCCCAGGCCTTTGAGGAGAGATAAACAGGTGAAGAGCCACATAGGCATCTTCTAAGGCAACCACCATTCTTGTTTAAATTCCACTCATTTTCCTTAGGAACTTTTCAGGCCAAGAACATATGTTTTTGCCTAGAGCATGCTTACGAGGAACTTCTGAGATGGTGATATTGTATCCGTCAGGATGTTGTAGGCTGAAAGGAAGAGAGACTCTTGTCTTGACTGGCTTTAGTTGAATAATGAGGGGATTGCTGATCCTGTACGAGAAGAAGCCCATAGCAGGACAAGTTCCTGGACCCTAGTATGTCAGAGCTCCTGCTCTACTGCTTTGCAGTTCTTCCTCAGGCTGGTGGCAAGTTCAGCAATTCGAGGTACCATATGTGGACAAAACAGTATTCAGTAGAAGAAAAAGGACCATCTTTTCCTTGTATTTTAAGAATCTTTTTCAGGGCACCTGGGTGGCTCAGTTGGTTAAGCCACTGCCTTCGGCTCAGGTCATGATCCTGGAGTCCCGGGATCAAGTCCCGCATCGGGCTCCCTGCTCAGCAAGGAGCCTGCTTCTCCCTCTAACCCTCCTCCCTCTCATGTACTCTCTCTCTCTCATTCTCGCTCTCTCAAATAAATAAATCTTTAAAAAAAAAAAAATCTTTTTCAGAAGCTTCTTCAACAGATTGGCTCTCATGAGTCCTTGGCCAGCATTGGGCCCCTACCACACCTGCTCACAACAGAAATGGGACCACCATGTTTATCTTAGGCATCAGGATTTACCCCAAAAGCTAAGAATAGAGTTACTCTTTTCTGGTTCACACCAGGAAAGGATAGATACCCCACCGGCCTTCTGAACAAAATCAGGGCTCCAGCAGCAAGGTAGAAGAGATGACTATGTCTATTACAGTTGCCATTTGGGAAACGACACAAGTATTTAAAAGGGTGTTTATTAAGGAAACTTCGAAAGCAGACAAGCAAAACCATGTTTTGCCTTTCTTACCTCCTTCTGGAATATAAATAAAGGTTTAATAATTGCAGTGCTCAGTAGCAATCGTGAGAGCATTTACAATAGAAATAGGAAGAAAAGAGAAGGAAGAAAAGATTCCTTAGTTTTGGCTAGTTTAATCAATGAGATATTTATTTTTATCATCTGTCAGTGTGCCTGGTGTTAGGCATTTATCTGATTTCAGCAGGTGTTCAGTTTAGCTGAGAAAATAAAAGATAAGCACACATAAAAATACAGCCATCAGAATTCACCCTAAGCTAGAGTGATCAGGATAAACTTCATGAAGAGAGCAGGACTTTAAAAGGAGGAGAAAGAGTCTGGGTCTAAAGGGAAGAGTGTAACAAAGATCCAGATGCAAGAAAGCACATGACTTCTTCATCCAGAGTCATGGGCATGACTGATTATGAACTCTTCATGTATGGAAGTGTGAAGCACTAAGATGGAAAGGTTGGCTGGAGCCAAATTATGGAAAGCAAAGCACTCAGTGCTACATTAAGGATTATCCAACTTTTTCCAAGTACGAGGGATCTCATGAAAGTTTGAGTTTAAGGTGAGATTACAAGGGAAAGCAACTAACAAAATAAGGAAAATGCGTGATAAATAAATAGTCCTAAGAATTTCTTTCAGCCATTCAATATGTTGGTATCTAGTCTCTAAAATTTATTAACCAGTTAACTCTAAGTTCCACTCAGAGTGAGAGCAGGTCAGGAACACTAGGTGGATTTTGGATTTAGTGATCAAAAAAAGCCTGTCCACATTTTCTAGCCAAATAATTCAGTTCTCCTATTCTAATCACCTTAGCTAGCTTGTTTTTTGGAAACGGTCATTAAATTTTAATAGCAGGTAAGTTTATTACAGTCCTTCTTGAATAAGAACTAGCTCTTTGGGGTGATCCCTAAAAGGCCCAGGTATCTGTAGAAATTGTTAACTACAAAAACAGTTGAAAGCTCGTGCTTATCTAATAGAAGGAAAGGGTAAGCCCCTACCTCTAGTGTAAGTATTTCTACACTAGATATCAGGTGACAGGGAAGGAAGGCAGGAAATACCCTATTCTCTCCCATATTTGTGTAATAATGCTACAGTTGATGATTACAAGCTAGAGAGAGAGATGCCAACATCAGCTATAGGATTGACTTCTACTGAACTAACTCTATCCAGTCATCCCCTTTGTGACTAATAGCATGAATTTTTGAAAGGACTAACTGGGGTGCAAGGAGCTCTGTCCATGAACTATAATTTGACATTTCTATGAAGTTCAAACAGGTATCAGTGATTTAAGCATGTTAGTATTCTGTTTTAACCAAGTATGTCATAATGGGGCAGCCCAATCTATAATAAAAACAAAACAGGTTTGAGTATATATGTATTTTTCCAGTTTAATGAATTACATTTTGGATATAGATGTTAGCATGGTTTCTTCATATCACTATCAAAAAATAATGAGTGTAGGTGATTTCTTACCTAAGTAACTCATTGCACATCTCATTCCTCAACACTAAACTGGTTGAAGAACCACAAAAATTGCCTGTTTTGCCAAGCAGATGCATGCTAACAATCCTGAGGTGTTTAAACATAAAACTTGTTATTACTATCCCATACAGATTAAATAATTTGATGATTAGGGTCCTGTTACAGGCTGATCACCCAAAGGGAAATGGGAAAAATGGAGCAAAATGTCTGAAAATAAAATATTATAAACATTAAAAGGAACTACTTTCAAAGTAATTTGGGGTCTTTTTCAAAACGGATTATGAGTAACCCTCTTATTCACATAAAATTCCTAGTTCTACATCAGTGCTTGGAACACACTAATGCACTAAAATCAGTGGTAGAGTGTGGGCTGAACAGAAATGCTGTTTATGTGAATTCTTCATATAATCAGTTACTGGGTTTCTCTGGTTGCTGAATTCTAATTGTTATATAAATTTAGTTCACAAGCTTCTGTTTCAATGCGCAATTTTAGATTGTCCATAATTTATATAGTTGAATTAGGATTACCTTCGTATGTTTAGCAGGAAACCTTTAATATTCCTCAAAATATTGTGATTTGCTTACAAGTAAAAAAAAAATTGTTAGCTGATGAAGTATATTAACATGTTTTTTCTTACAATATTAGTGTCTAAATTTCTTCTGTGTAATCACGACAGTGTGCATATAATTGTGAAAACAATCAGATTAAGAATCTATCCAACTTTTCAACTTGCAAAATATATATGATTGGGCGCCTGGGTGGCTCAGTTGGTTAAGCGACTGCCTTCAGCTCAGGTCATGATCCTGGAGTCCCGGGATCGAGTCCCGCATCGGGCTCCCTGCTCGGCAGGGAGTCTGCTTCTCCCTCTGACCCTCCCCCTCTCATTCTCTCTCTCTCTCTCTCTCTCATTCTCTCTCTCAAATAAATAAATAAAATCTTTAAAAAATATATATATATATGATTGATGGGAATGCAATTACTAGGTTATTCAACTAAAGTGCACTATAATAGTTATGATTTATCATAAGTTTTCAGTGTTTCCTAAATATAGCAAATAATCTGCAACAACAGGCTTGGTGGAACATAGGTTAAAGGTTAAAACTTCATTTAGCAGTAAATGAGACAAATTAAGTAAACCTTCGAGTTCTCCAACTTCGGATTTCTAATATAACTCAGGTTGTCACTGAAGCTTTTATAAAGAACAATAATATGTATTTAATTGAATGGTTTTTGTTATTGTCTGTAAATAATTTATTTCCAAATGCACAGTGATGAAATAGGATTTTTGATCAATTGTTTTTTTTTTTTTTAAGCTATTTTGGCATGACCATTTAAACACTGCATTCTCCCCAACACATGGATGGATTAACATTTTCATTTTTTTTATAGTTTTTTTTCCTTTTTATTTTTTCTACTCTGAACTTCTTTTCTCTCTTTATGTTATTATATTGCTACTTTCTAAAGTTGAAGGGTAAACAACATTTAACAATTCTCATAATGATATTTTCCAAATTAAATAATGCATTTTGGTGTAAATTATACTGGGAAAGTGTTTAATAGATAATCGTAAATGTATTTGCAGTCATTTGAAATTGGTTCATTTGTGTATAATTTATAATAATAAGACTTTAGAAAGCAATTTGGCTTTGTGAATTAAGGATCATAAATATATTTATACCTTTTAATTCAGAAATGCTATTTATCCCTGGGGTGCCTGGGTGGCTCAGTCAGTTAAGCATCTAACTCTTGATTTCAGCTCAGGTTTTTTTTGTTTTTGTTTTTTGTTTTTTAAGATTTTATTTATTTATTTGACAGAGAGAGAGACAGCCAGAGAGGGAACACAAGCAGGGGGAGTGGGAGAGGGAGAAGCAGGCCTCCTGCAGAGCAGAGAGCCCGATGCGAGGCTCGATTTCAGGGCCCTGGGATCATGACCTGAGCTGAAGGCAGACGCCTAACCACTGAGCCACCTAGGCGCCCCTCAGCTCAGGTCTTGATCGCAGGGTCATGAGTTCAAGGCCCATGTTGGGCTCCGGTTAAAAAAAAAAAAGAAAGAGAGAAATGCTATTTATCCTCAAGACGTGTTCCCAGAAAGAGAATAACAATACTTACCATTCACAGTATAGTAATATTTAGATACTATTCATGATAGCTAACTGAAAGCAACCAAAACATCCAATAGTGAGGTAATAATGGTGGTTAATTATGATCTAGAGAATCAGGTGAATATTAACATAATCATTAATAACATTATCATAAAGACTGTGTAAAGCCATGGGGGAGGAACAGAATTTTAAATTACGTGTATTTTAAGTACATTTTCTCAAGATAATATGTGCTTATGGACAAAGTCTGAAGAATATGCAAACATAAAAGTAGTTTTTGTTTTTGTTTTGTTTTGTTTTTTGAAGTGTAGTTGACATATAATGTTACATTAATTTCAGGTGTACAGCATAGTGATTCAACAACTCTGTATGTTGTGCTGTTCTCACTGCAAGTGTAGCTACCATCGGTCACCAGACAACACTATTACAGTACCATTGACTAGATTCTCTATGCTGTACCTTTCATCCCATGAGTTACTCATTCCATAACTGGAAGCCTGTACCTTCCCACTCCTTTACCCACTTTTTCCTTCCCCCACTCCCCCCTCCTCTCTGCCAACCACCAGTTCTCTGTATTCATGGGTCTGTTTCTGCTTTTTTTGTTACAAAGTAATAGAAATTATAATAACTAATACAAATTTTTAAAAAGTAGTTATTTTTTGAAGTATAGTTTTTTTTTTTAACTCCCTACACTGTTGTATTAATAATGAAAAAGGGTTTTTTTTAGTGTGTTGGGCTTGTCAGTAGCCAATACTATGCTGAAGGCTGAACAAAAAATGCTTACATAAGTTTATATACACAGAACATCGTTACCCTTTCTTTCAGAACATTATCAAGATCATTGAGTGAACCAAGGTATGTATGTATGTGTGCTTTTGTGTTTTGTTTTAACAGGTACCAGTCAGTGGCCCAGAGCTGGAGGGCAAGCTCCTTCATCCCCAAGCTATGAAAACTCACTCCACTCCCTGGTAAGAGCCTCTTAGGAATATACAGGTCATTTTTATCTGATAGTGCGGAGTGTGTTTTTTCAGTAAATCTTGAGTAACAGTGAAAAAAACAGTAGGATAGCATTACACACGAATTCTTTGCTAACAAGTGGCCTGATGTAGTTTAACAGTATAAGACACATTGGGTGTGCCTTTTGCCATCTGTTCTTTGGGACCTCAGGCTTCTGGTCTCAGGACAACTGGTGTTAAAATAGAGTTATGGGATTCTTGCTTCTTTGATAAATCTAGAGTTCAATTCTTCTGTACTTTTATGTTTACATATAAGAGGAAACAAATAAAAAGGCACAGAGACCAAGTAAAAGCAAGAAAATTAGTCGAGCAGTGGAAAATGATATATTTTACTCTTTCTCATGTGACTATTCTGTATATGGTTTATTACATTTCCATTAAAAGTTTAAAATGTAATATCAATTATATATGTCATGAAAAATGTTATTTCCCATGTTTTCTTTTCTAAAAAAATGTATTGTGTTCATTGTAAAAGCAAAAATGTTATTTAACAAAACGAATAAGGCAGTAGAATAAAAAAGCCTGTCTGGGTATTGAGCGCGAAGAATTTGTGGTAGAATGTTAACTGCTGTTGCTTTTCAGTGCTTACCACAGAATTACAAAGTATTATAAAAACAAAATAAGGGTGACTTGATGGAATGCTAAGTCATTCAATAATTCCAGGTTGCAAACAGAAAAGTTCTTTTTCTGTGACTAACAGAACAATTGAAAGGAAAGTCTTCTTCTCTCATATTTTGCAAGCAAATATAAGCAATGTGTGCTGTTTAGATGCTAACCTTATAACTTCGCTGTTAAATCCCAGCCTTCTCATACCTTAATACAAGTAGATCTTGCAGGTCTCCGTGTTAACTTTACTAACATGTTATGCTGACATGCACATCAGCTATTTCCTCATCTCTTTTGGAGTTAATCTTAACCTGTGCTTTGCCTCCTGTTCTGTCTTGACTTTGCCAGAAAAATCGAGTTGAGCAGCAACTTCACGAGCATTTGCAAGATGCAATGTCCTTCTTAAAGGATGTCTGTGAGGTACTATTTCTTTTAGATGGTGCCTTTTTTGTGTTTCAATTAATTATACTTCCTATTATCCATTTAAAATCTTCAAGCCTGTACAGACTCCAGAGTCTTTTAAAATCAAACAATGACCATTTTCATTTTCATACAGTATGTAAAAATAGACTTTTGTTCATGTTATTGAGAATGATTCCTTTTAAAAGAGCTCTACTGGCATGTGCTTTTGATTTTTAAAATTCTAATATGTTTGTGTATGGGGCATGTGTGTATCCACAGACAATATCATTCCCTCAGTTTTGTGAAAGAGCATATTTGGATGTGTTCACCATTTCAGATAGGGGTGCTTTATTCACTTAAAACAAAATTACACCTTAAACTTGATGGATTTGAGCACCCTTCCCTAAATTGCTTGCATTTCAAAGATCAGTATTAAAGTCCAGGTTATCTTTTTTATCACCTGTAATTATCAGACACAGCAGAATAGCTTTCATCTTTTGTAGGAAGCTAAAAGAAATAGCCTCATGGTAGATTGGTAAATAGATTTTTATGAAGCAGTGATTTGTTTCTGAAGCTGTGTTAATTATGCATAGTCGACATTTCTTTGATTCTTGATTGTAGTGCAGGTAGTTGCTTTTGAAGTTACCTGATAGTACATTTTACTTGCTGTCTTCCGTATATCCCAAAGTAGGAAACAACAGTTTAATAATTTAACAGATACCAGCAGTAACCTCCATGTCTTTTTTCAATCCCTATAGCAATCTCGAATGGAGGATCGTTTAGACAGACTGGATGATGCTATCCATGTGCTGCGGAACCATGCTGTGGGACCGTCCACCAGTTTGCCTGCTGGTCACAGTGACATACACAGTTTATTGGGACCATCCCATAATGCATCAATGGGAAGCCTCAATTCAAACTATGGTGGATCAAGCCTTGTTACAAGCAGTCGATCTGCTTCAATGGTAAAATAGTGCTCATCTCTTTTGTAATATATCCTAAAGCCTATATTCCTAAATGTTTTTCATGAAATCTTTGGAAGAGAGGGTCCTTCTTTTTTAAAAACACTTGTTGGGCAGGGTCATTGGCTGAGCATTGGCCCTTAAAGTCCTGCTATGATCATGTGCAAAGAGCTAAAGCTTTCTACAAGATCATTTTAGCTTAAACTTAGATTTTTTTTTTCCAGATGTGTGGCCAGAACAGTTTTGCCTTGAAATGGTAGGAAGTCTAAGCAAAAACAGTAAAGCAAGACTGAATTTCAAGGGGTCTGGTCTAGAAAGGCTGTTTATTATAATTCAGAACCAGCCTTCAAAAGCAGAAGGAATGTGAAATTATTTGTACCAGTCCAAATTTAAGCTTTATTACCAAATAAAGAAAAAATTGGGTAGTTTTAAGAATAGCTGTAATTTAAGTGACAATGAAAGGAAACAATATTCAATTAATTTCTGAAGAGAATAAAATAATTCAATCCATCTTTTAAAAAACATAATTCTTTAGAGAGAAAAAAGTAAAACTTCTCAGCAAATCAAAAATTCTGTTGTATGTCCTACGTTATTTTTTATCCAGATTGTCTTCTAAAGGAATGAAGCTCTTTTTGAACCTGCAATTTAACTGATGCCGTGTGTTTGAGTGTTTATAGCATTGTTTTTAGGATTTATTGCATGCTATGGAATATTCTCCTATGAAACAGATTTCTAGGTGTAAACCATGTGATCAAGGGTAAAATTCACCTATCATCGAAATAATTAGGTGCCCCAAATGCTGAAGGCTTGTGTTCTGTAAAATAGGATTGGTTCCACATTTTCACATTCACATGTCAGACAGCCATTTATATTCATTTTGGAGCAGCTGAAGTAAACATCAAACACGGCTGCCTAGTTTCCTGAATACGGTGTTTTCGGCAGCATAGGTGACAGTAGATGCCTGCATATCTTAACAACCAGTTTTGGAATTTTTTTTTCAATGTCAGAAAATCTGGAAATTCGGGCTCCTTCTAAATTTTGGTTGCTTTTGGTAAGCTAATAAAATGTGAAAACATTTAAAATTATGAAAGAGAAATATAGGGTGGTGTTATCACTGTTAGTAATAATAAAATAATATCAGTATAATAAGATAGCATTTGTTGCAAATATAAATGTAGAATGTCAAATAATTATTGTTTTGTTGAAATAACTACTTATCCTTATTTAGAAGAATGACTTGAAAATCAATATATTTGAATCCCAAGTTTGTCTGAACTGGCAACATTTGAAGTTATTCCTTCACCTCTTAAAATCATCTTTTAATTCTTCCCTGTTAATAGCTCACTGCTCCTATACAATATTTGATATATCTCTGGCTCCTCCCAATTAAACGCAGAGTTTGTATAAAATGGAACTTCTGTCTTCAGGTGGTTGTTTTTATGAGCTTTGGGTATGAGATGGAAAGAGACTTTTCAAAATCCAGCCCTACAAAGCCATGTAGAAATCTAGTGCATTTTAGAAAGACTTGTGGAGAGAAAAACGGTTTCATTACATACTGCCCTGAAGCTTTTAATTAAAAAAGTAGCTTCCATTATATCCTCTAGGAATATGCTGCCTACTTCAGAGCATCAGCAAAAGGGCTGCCAGAAATATTCTTTTAAAAGGAAAAAAAAAAGTCTAGAAAGAAGTCTTCTGCCCGGGGGGTGCGTCTGGCTCAGACTGAGCAGCAGCGTCCGTGCCACAGCAGCTGAGCCCGCGCTGTTGCTCCGTGTGTCTAGCGAGGTCCTGTCTCCAGGTCGTGGAGGCCGTGGAGTGGGTGAAAACCTGCCGGACGTCATCTGCTGCACCCACCCCATCCAGACAGTCAGTAGTGGAGGTGGGGCCACACGTTTCTGACAGGCTTACCCTTAAAATATAAGTTATTAACTGACAAAAAAAATCTGAAACTGTCAGGTGAGTCACTGTTCATCTCCCCTCCTTCTGAAATGAACAGTTTAGCTGTGAGTCCTCAGTTCTCAATTTCAGCAAAAAGATCTAAGGATAGAATGAAACGAAGCTCATAGTCAGCCAGTGACTCTCCCAGCTAAGCGTTAGGCATCCTGTTGAGGAAGGTTCTTATCCTAGCGGCTCTTAGGATGTCTGAGGACATCAGCAGTGCCAGGAGCCCCCTGCTTAAACACCCAGTACCCACCTATGTGAAATCAACTCTTTTCATATGATTGGAAGGTATGTGATTTGGGGGGACATATCATTACAGCTATTGCCAGCCATCTTTAAGAATTAATCTCCTGCTTTTATTATTCCCTCTTTCCCCTCTGTATTCTAACTGATGACGACTAAGAAATGACACAATTTTACATTCTAGAATCACTTTTCCTTTTTGGTCCTGTTTGACTTTCTGGTAGTTTTTATACTTTTCCTCTATATTAACGTAAATTAGTATTTATTTTAAAGATTTCTAAAAATGAAGGTTACATGGCCAAAATTATGAAGTAACCGCAGAAATAACAGTTTACCAACAACTCTGTATCACCATATAGAATTTGTAAGGTCAGGGTGCCTGGGTGGCTCGGCCATTGAGCGTCTGCCTTCGGCTCGGCTCATGATCCCAGGGTGCTGGGATCAAGCCCTGTGTCGGGCTCCCTGCTCCGCGGGAAGCCTGCTTCTCCCTCTCCCACTCCCCCTGCTTGTGTTCCCTCTCTCGCTGTCTCTCTCTCTGTCAAATAAATAAATAAAATCTTAAAAAAAAAAAAATATATATATATATATATATATAGAATTTGTAAGGTCAGCTTCTCTCTAAAACATGTAATTTTCATCATTCCATTTATTTTCTGCAGAGAATAGAGTTATTCTGATAAATACCATTTCAGGAATTCCACAGAACTTTCAAATAAAATTTTTGTTCTCATGGGCATTTACTGTGGGTCACCATCCAAATTGCAGGTTTTAAATATGATATTGCTTTCTCTCCTAGTATTTAGAAAAGGGAGCCAGCATACTTCTGTAAAAGGCCAGGTAGTAAATATTTTCAGCTTTGCAGGCTATATGGTCTCTGTCACAACTACTTTAACATTGTAACATGAAAGCAGCCATAGACATTATGAAAACAAATGGGTGTGGCTGTGTTCCAATAAAACTTCGTTTACAAAAAAAGAGCTCCTTAATTTGTAAAACACCAGGACCGGAGTCCATAATCTCTCATGGTTCGTCACCTTTGGCCAACAGGCCACACCTTGCCGGTTTTTGAATTGGAACATAAATTAGCTTCCCAGTGCAGGTAATGAGGGTTAGCAAGTTTTTTTCTTTTTCTTGGAGCCTTATTACTGTTTGCTTATTTTTTTAATGATTAGTTTGGGAGTTTTATTGAAGTAGTTGGAATACTTGATTGAGGTAAGCCAGAATACACTTAGAGTAGAAGAGTTGATGTCAAGATAAAAGTGGTACAGACAGCCCAGCTCTCAGCCTGCAGTGCTATCAAGATTACTTGTGGTATAAGGCTACATAGACAGGTTTAATCAAAATAGTGTCCCTTGGTCAGGGAAGTAACTTTGCTGCTGGTAAACTTGCTTTACATTGTTTTCAGTTGTAAGAAGATTATGTCAGTAAAAGTCATCCATAGCTGATATTATTGATTTGTGGAAGATCCATTTTCTTGTCTTATAGATGAAATCATTGGTATTTTTTAATTATTCCAGAAAAAGATTTTTATATTTCACACCAAGGAGATAAGACTACCAACTGCCAAAATCATATATTAATAGGAGCCAAAATCAAAAGATTTAATTTCGACTGTTACTTTTAACTGAACTTGACCAGCCTCAAAGTTTAGAATTATATGAGGCTTCAACCACAGAAAGCTTTTAACATTATTTTAGCTATCTAATTAGTACACACAAAAATTAAATCTTTAGAAAGATTACTATGTCAGAAAAAGAAATTTAAGAAATGGTTAATTCCTGCTTCTTAAAATATAATTAGTATAGACAGCCTGGCATAGCCTTAATATTTGCTCTTATTTTTGAATGGTGTTAACATTTTCATTTACTTAATTTCATATTCCCTTTCAATATTTTTGATGATTTCTCCATATTTGCCGAATGCAAATGTAAAACTTAAGACTTTTTTGTTGGGTACTCTTACTAGGATATGATTGGTATACTGTTTAAATTTTAAAGCACAAAATCAGGGTTTTTAGAACTATTAAAATGTCAGCATTGGACTTCAGTTTTGCTCCCACTTATTTAGTGTAAGAATAAACTCTTAGAATAAACTGCTGACAAGAAAAAATACTGATATTAAGTAGAAAACCGAAAGGACTAGAATTGTTAATTTTATTTGGGCATTATGAAGAGGTCTCAACAGTATAAAGTTATTGTATGTCATATCTGTTTATGGTTGTGTAATACCTAGAATACTGAGGCCCAGTGAGATAGCTCATGATATCACTTTTATCTTTAACTGAAAGTACTCCTTCCTCTAACAGTGATTTCAACTTCATACTAAGTTGTATTAGAAGCTTTTTGTATTAATGGAAACTTGATGCAAATATTAAAAAGTTCCTCATTTATGATACAAAATTTTATCCATGAGGTCTTTTGATTCCTTTGTTATAAGTACTAAGGAAATTTAATCCAACCATTTCTTTTAATTTTTTTTTTTAATTGTTTGGGGTTTTGTTGTTTAAGCTGTGGTTGGAGATGTCTGGTGTTCTTGTATGACAGAATAATGTTAAATTGTAGGATTTAAAGTTTCTTATATAATGATTTAAAAATATAAATTTTGTCTGTTTTCTAAATCCTAAAGCAGTTAGAGAATAGTTCTAAGAGACGTAAGATAAAGTTATTAAAGACTAACAGACAAATAAAGAAATATTTATTCAAAATCAGCACTTCTGTCACATAGCACATTTGCAGTTCTTTTAACCTTATATTTAGACTAATTTTATTAGTATAGGCTTGTATGCCATAGAAATTGTGTGTCTAGGCTTCAAATGATTTGAAGGAGTTTATTTTTAACTGTATTTTTCTTTTTCTAACCAATTTTTTCCTGAATGGGCAATTTAATTTTTTTTTTCATTAAAACTACATTATAATGGTTTTTAAGAGATTTGTAAATTCAGAATTATTCCAAATGGCAACTTTTTTAAGTTTGAAAACCATATAGGTTATGTATTTATGACAATATCATTAAAAAGGAGCCATATTCTACCAAGTTTCTAGCTTAAAATCCCTCTTTAGGTAAAACAAAATACACACAGAACATAAAGATCCTTTAATCAGTCTGTAGATTAATACTGATTAATTTAAATCATTAGTATTCAGTGAACAGTACAAATGGAACAAATTATTAGAATAGAATTCAGAATCAGAGAGGAATTCATACTGAGTACTTTTCAGTCTGCTCCTTAATTCACAAGACCTCTTATTCATCAACTAATTAGATTTAGCATTTTTCTATTGTGGGTGCTAAAGCTATTGGCCAAATTAAATGAAAACAGGTCCCTTGTTGGGTGCTCCCACAAAAGTAAGGCCATACACAGATTGTGAAGATTCAGAATGCAGGATGATGTCATTTAATGAGATGGGCCTTTTATTCTGAAATAGAGCTCTTCATAATAATTGAAATTTAGAGCATAGCAGACCTAGGGGTTTGCCTTCCTCTGCTACTCCCCCAGTAGCAGCAGCCTGTCAGCTGTATGCTAACGAGAGGAACAATTAAACATAGGGTTCTCTCTGGCTGGCCCAGTCTCTGAGCTCAGACAAAGAACTGTTTATACACCTGTTGTGTCTGTGGACAGAGCCATTTGAATGGGTAGCTGCAGATTAAAAGGAGGACATGGGAGCCAGTGTGAGCAAGGGTTAAATAGAACTTTAAGAACTGTGAAAGTCAAATTCTCCAGAAAATATATGAGGGCCATTTGCACGGGGAATCGAGTTACCAAAAAAAAAAGTTCCTGCTAACTTCATTAACATGAAAAACTCCAGACTTCAAGCTTTTTGCTAGTCTGAGTCTAGTCTAAACCTTTTTTAAAGGTTTAATTTTTTTTTTCTTTTTGGGAGCCAAAAAAAATACTTAGTTTGTAGTATTCCAAAAGATGAAAATATTTGCTGGCGTTTATATCCCAAAACAAATTGATCAACCGTCTGATTTTCCTTCAGGTAAAGGCAAAATCCCTAAGATTTACTTCAGTAATGATCTTTTGTCTGCCAGGCCTTTCATCAGAAAGGAAATGATAGAACATTTTTATTAGTTGAGATTCAGAAAATCAGAATTGTTTTTACTAATAAAAAGAAGTAAGAATTCAGAAGCTGCACCATCACTTATTGCCTGGATGGAAATTCAGTTCTGTGGCTGTTCGATGGTATTGTCTTACAGAGCTGTAAAATGAGTTGTACGCATATAGTATAGAGTAAATATACATATGTTTAAAAGTTTAAGTTTTAAAAGGCTATTTTCTTTTAACTACTTGGTATGATACCTCAAAATACTAGGTAAGAACAAAATTTAGCACATATTACCAAAGATCACAGGAACTTTTAAGTTCACATTATAAACACAAACACAGAAATCTTAGCTTTTACTTTGTCCTGCAATGATTTCTTCAGCCAGTCAAAACTGTTCTGGTGGTATTTATCTTTAGAATAGGCTTAGGCTCCTAAAGCCCCAAAGGTTTTGCAGCTATATGTTATATTTATACTATATTTATTTTTATAAGTGGGATTTTTGAACTGACCTCCTTAGATCATTAAATAGTTCATAGCAAGCAAAGAAAGCAACTAATCCTCAGCAATGACTAATCCTCAAATAAATTTAAAAGTAGATAGGGAATACATTAAGTGGGTTTTTTAAAACTACATTAAAGGGGCGCCTGGATGGATCAGTCATTTAAGTGTTTGACTCTTGATTTTGGCTCAGGTCATGATCTCAGGGTCGTGAGAGATGGAGCCCCACCTCGGGCTCTGCACTGGGCATGGAGCCTGTTTAAGATTCTCTCTCTCTCTCCCTCTGTTCCCCTCTTGTGAGCCACCCCCCACCTCAGAAAAATTTAAAAAGAAAAACTACATTAAAGATAAGGGTGGAGAACAGACATTTCTTAAAAAGTATAGTGAAAGACCTGATGTGTTCTAATCAAGTCCAGTACCAAATGGCCTGTTGCCCGAAACTTTGCTTTGGTGCCTTTTGTTTAGCTCACAAGAAACCAAAGGATAAACTTGCATAGGGGTATTTATACCTCTTAGGGTAAAATCCATACAAAGTCATGAAAGATAAAAGCTATATTAATTACTCAAGAGGGATTCAAAGCAAAAGAGTTTGCTGGGATTGAAGGATTTATTGAAAAACAGTGATTCTTATATATAACTCCAAGCAATAAACCTCTTTAATTAAAGACTTAATCTTGTAGCTGATACATATGCTACTGTTCTAATAAAAAGCTTCATTTGTAACCAGTTTTTCCAAAAATATTGCTATAGCTAAAATACTTGGTGGTATTTGCATGCCTTACCTTCTAATTTTAGGCTAATTGTGATTTATGTAAGTTTGATTAAAACAGAATAAAAATATATGTCATTTTTGTTGCCTGGCAATGCAGAACTTTTGTTTTAAGTTAATTTCATTTTGTATTGCTTTTACTCCTCTTTTAAAATTTTTGAGGGAGGCAGAGGAAGAAGAAAAAACAACACACTATATATGTATGTGAGGAAAGGATATACCAAAGTATAGATAAATACTATTATTACTTGGAGTGTAGCAGTATTTTGTTAAATGCAAATTCATACGTATGGAATATGTATATGGAATAGATTTTCAGATTGATTGATGTAGGATTATTAATAGATGCTATAATGTGTAGTGCTTTATGGCTTATAGAGTGCTTTATCTCTGTTAGCTCATTCGCTTCACACAACCTTCTGTGGGATATAAAATTTGAAAGTTGGAATTTTATTTTTTATATTTTGATTCAAAAGCAGTGGTCCCATCAAGTCTTTTGAAATCCAAAAATCAGAAAAGTAACATCCCAGAAAAGTTGTTAAATTCAGATAAGTGATAGATGTCATTTTCTCTATTAAACCCATTAAAAGAATTTAAACAGTTATTGCCCCTGAACTGTCTTGACTTTTCTTTTCTTTTCTTTTCTTTTTTTTTTTTTAACTTTAGGTTGGAACTCATCGAGAAGACTCTGTCAGTCTCAATGGCAATCATTCAGTCCTGTCTAGTACGGTCACTGCTTCAAGCACAGACTTGAACCACAAAACACAAGAAAATTATAGAGGTAACTGTATTGTTGGTTTTCAGCAGTAGTGCATACAGAGATATCATTTGGAACACTGTCATCTTTCTTACAAGCAGATTGACATCTGTGAATCGAAAGTCGTCTTAGGTGGGGCAATTCCAAACAGCAGTGCTACTGAATATAGAGGGTAGATATTTAGAATTCTAATTGCCCCATTTTGCTGGGCCAATTGTAGATACTTATTGATGGATAGAACCACATGCAAGGGGTGCCTGGGTGGCTCAGTCGTTAAGCGTCTGCCTTCGGCTCAGGTCATGATCCCAGGGTCCTGGGATCGAGTCCCGTGTCGGGTTCCCTGCTCAGTAGAGAGTCTGCTTCTCCCTCTCCCTCTGCCCCTGCTTGTGTTCCCGCTCTTGCTGTCTGTCTGTCTCTCTCTGTCAAATAAATAAATAAAATCTTTTAAAAAAAAAAAAAAAAACCACATGCAAACTGTTCAGTATTTACTGGTCATCTTACCTGCTCCTGCTTCCGTCATGTCTCTTTCCTAATCACTTCCCCTCGTGACTGAGCCCTCATGGTCCCTAGAGGCAGTGAGGAATTTTTCTGAGTATGTTGAGAGCTCCAAATGGTAGTAGCTTTTATTTAGAAGATTTTAATTTAATTGGAGAGACAATTCTGATAAAAACAAACTGACAAATGTTATAATAGAGCTTATAAGTACAAGTATATAACCTATGTTAAGACCACCAAAGTAAAGTTTTCCCAGTTATATTTAACCATGCAGCCCATTTTATTATGTTTATCTGGGAAAATGTTAAAGCTTATTTCCTTTACCTTAGCAGCACCTTAGAAGTCAGTTTCTAAACTGCATCAAGTTTCTCATACTTATTCAGTTGTTAAATAGTGCCTTAAAGTAAGCATTAGAGTGACCATCAAGGTCAGACTTCTTTTATTTATTTTTTTTTAAGATTTATTTATTTATTTGAGGGGGGTTGTCGAGGGAGGCGGGGAGAGAGAGAATCTCAAGCACACTCCCCGCTGAGCAGGGAGTCAAACGCTTAACCCACTGAGCCACCCAGGTGCCCTAGACTCCTTCTTTTAAATATAGTTGCTTTAAAAACCATTTTCTCCAAGGTTTGTGGATCTCTTCTTTCCAGCTCTAAATAGTATATTATCCTACATCTTCAGATTTCCACCATAGTCCTGTAACAAATAAAAACATTCACCATCTAGAAGGCTTTTTACAGTCTTAGTTCTAATTCTGGACATTTATGTTTCTTTGCCTCTTTGTTAGGTGGCTTGCAAAGTCAGTCTGGAACTGTTGTTCCAGCAGAAATCAAGACTGAAAACAAAGAAAAAGATGAAAACCTTCATGAACCTCCTTCATCAGATGACATGAAATCAGATGATGAATCCTCCCAAAAAGATATCAAGGTTTCATCTAGAGGCAGAACAAGGTATTTATTAGCATTCAGGTATTACATTTCACTCACTTGCCATGGGTGGAAAATACTTGGAAAATTGAAAGGTATCATGCATTTATTAAGTGTCAGCTGTGTTCTAGTACTGTGTTGGGACTTCATATGTTACCTCATTTAGTGCTCATAGCAACCGTAAAAAGGGAGGCATATGATGCTGACTCCAAAATTATGTATTCCATTATACCACAATATTTTAGGGGCTACATATAAAGAAGAATTATATCTCTCCCTTCAGTTAGAGCACAAAATAAAACAAGTTAAATTGTGCATTTGGAGACATTTAGATACATTCTACCAATAAATATTTGAATATATTTTTTAATACTATGTTTATGGTAAAACTCTATTGTATGATTTAAACCAGAGGTTAGCAAACTGTGGCCTATGGGCCACATGTGGCCCATGGCCTATTTTTATAAATAAAGTTTTATTGGAACACTTCCGTATCTCATTCATTTGCATATGGTCTATGGCTGCTTTCCCAATGCCAAGGCAGATTTGGGTAGTTACAGCAGAGACCAGATGGCCCACAAAGCTGATAATATTTATTATTGGGCCCTTTACAGAGGAATTTTGCCAACTCCTGATTTAAACAAAAATTTGAGAAGTATGGAAAAGGAAATACTCCAGGTGGACTGATGTTGGGGAAGGTTTTCTAGAAATCAGACTTGACCTTGCTTTTCAGTATGGATATTGACAAACAGTACATTAGTTTCAAATGATTTCCAGATTCTTCCCTCAGACTTTTCTTCTAGTTCTATATTAAATTTAGATGGTTTGGTATATTTTTGGCATATCCTGTTTTTTGGTGTCAATAATATGTATATATCACATATAGATATTTAAAACATTGTTCTTTATATTAAATTAGGGTGCAAAGGAGACCACGATAAGTATGGTAGATATAACTAAAAAAATTAAATTGAAAATTCATTTAAAAATTAAATCTTAAGCTTTTAATACTGTCAGAGTGAGAGAGAGCACGAGCTGAGGGCGGGGGAGGGAGAAAAGGAGGGAAAAGCAGACTCCCGACTGAGCAGGGAGCCTAGGACCCTGGGATCATGACCTGAGCTGAAGACAGATGCTTAACTGACTGAGCCACCCAGGTGCCCCTTAATACTGTCATTCTAATATGCCTTGTACTCAGTTGTGCAGGGGCATGAAGAAGTAAAAACTGGGTCACGGAATCCAGAAACTACTCCTTTGAGGCATCTTAATTCTTTAATAGTTTAATTATTCAAATAGAATTTTAAGATAAATAATTTGCATCTTTCCTTCTTACTCATTTTCTCATCTTAAAGGTCAAAGTTCAGCAAACTTTCCACATATAGGGTAGACATTAGCTATTTTATGTTTTGTGGGCCATTGGGTCTCTGTCACAACTACTCAACTCTGCCATTATAATAAAAGCAGCCAAAGACAGTACGTAAGCAAGTGAGCATGGCTCTTTGAATAAAATTTTATGTAAGAAAACAGGGAGCCAGCTCATGGGCCATAGTTTACTGAACCCTATTATAGGTTATCAGAAATTGAGAAGGCAGTATAATAGTTTACTGATAACAGCAATGCTTAGCAATTAATGATAGTTAATAGGTTAATAACATGGTCTTTGGATAAATAAAGTTAACCTGGGATTGAATTATGGCTCCATCACATACTTGCCAAGTGACCCTGGACAAGTTATTGAAACTCTCTGAACTTTAGGTTTGTTTTTTGTTTTTTTTTTCTCTAAAAAGAGACTTTCTATTATAGGATTCTTATGGAAATAAACTGAAAATGATGCATATAAAGCCCTTTGCACACTCTTTTGCATGCAGTAAATACCCCATAAGGTACTATAGTTACTGTTATGATGATGATAATTTAGGTATGTGGTATAGCCTTACTTCCATGGAACACTTACCTGGGTCCTTGTCATTACACTGCCACTAATTAGCTGTGTGATCCTAGGATAGTCACTGACTTCTCTGGATCTGGCAGTAGTTCTCAGCCCTAATGCACAAAATCCTGAAACATTTTAGAAATACAGATTGTCTTGGCCCCAACCCAGGCTCACTAAATCAGCATCTCCGGTAGTGGGACCTTTGAAACCTGTATTTTTCAACTGTCCCTGAAGATTCTGATGGGTGGCCACATTTGGAAACCTTTGGGCTAGATGATCTGTAAAGTTTCCTTTGAAGTAGAAGAGCTAGTGATTCTATTATAAAAGACTATTTTTATGTAATTCTTGACAATTAGCTAGTAAAAATCTATTGTGTACTTAATCTTTATTACAGTACTCAAGTTTATTGGAGCAGAGAAAACATCTATTTGTGCATATTATTTCAGGGTTCTGAGAGACTCTGCTCAGTCATTTATTTCTCATATATAAATAGAATTTTCTAAACGTTATTCCAAATCATCTCCCTCAGATGTTTTTTTTTTCTGATTACTTAATCTGTTTTCATTATAGAAATTTAGAAAATATGGAAAAGAACACAAAAATCACAAGAAACTGAACTATCAAGAATTAACTACTGTTTACTTTTTAAGGAATAGATATCCCATAAATATAGTTTAAATTGGAATTAAACTAGATATAAGTTTCATAATATCAACTTTTTTCATATAACAGTGTATTTTTAATATTTTCATCTGTCCCTAAATTTTCTCAAATGTTTTTTCCCTTGTTTTTAGCCAGCTTTATTGAGATTTAATTCACATGGAATAAAATACACTAATTTTAAGTGTACAGTTTTTGTCTTTGGACAAATGTATATGGTTTTATAACCACCACAATATTAATAATATAGAATGTTTCTACCACCCCAAAAAGTTTCCTTATGCCCCTTGGTAATCAGTACCCTTCTTCCATCCCCTGGCAGCCATTCATCTGCTTTTCCATTACTAGAGCTTTGTCTTTTCTAGAGGTTCATGTAAATCATATAGTATGTAGTCTTGTATCTGACATCTTTTACTTATTAGCATAATCTGCAGCTTAATTTTTAGACTACATAGTAGACAATTATCTGGATGTACTGTGATTTATTTAACCTGTGTCCTATTATTGGACTCCCAATTAGTTGCTAAAGTAAATAATTCTGTGATCAACTTTTTTACGTAAATTCCTCTGTACATCTCCAATTATATCCTTAGGATGAATTTCTAAAGTTGAAATTGCTGATCAAGACGTAGTGAACATTTTAAGGCTTTGGGTTCATTTTGCCAATTTGTCCTTCAAAAAAATTGTTCCAGTTGATTCATGGTTTTTTTAAGATTTTATTTATTAGAGACTGCGAGCATGCACGCAAGAGAGAGAGAACGAGAGAGAGCAGAGGGAGAGGAAGAAGCAGACTCCCCACTGAGCAGGAAGCCCAAGACCATGACCTGAGCCAAGGGCAGACGCCCAACAGACTGAGCCACCCAGGCACCCCATGACTCATGTTTTAGAATCATCACCACTGATGATATTTCTCTCTGAAACAAAAAGTAGTCATTTTCTGAGATACTTCTCTCATTCTGTGTCTTAAGCTTTTCTTCCTCCTTCTTACCAAGTGAGGAAAAAAAAAAAAAAAACATTTGAGGGAGATGATTTGTAATGTGTTTAGAAGCACAGCTTAGGCAAATTATAATACATTAGTGTACTAGGACAGTGCTTCTCAAACTTTAATGTACATATGAACCAGCCAGGGATCTTGTTAAAATGTAGCTTCCAATTCAATAGGCTTGCAATAGAACTTGAGTCTGTGTTTTTAACAAGCTCCCAGTAATGCTGATGCTGCTGATCACATTCTGAGTAGGAAGGTACTAGAATATTATGTAGTCATTCAAATTATGTTTACAAAGAGTTACACTATTATGGAGAAGTGTTTATGCTGAATGTGCAATGGAAAATGCATTTAAAAATGTATGTGGTCGGGTGCCTGGGTGACTCGGTTGAGCGTATGAATCTTAATTTCAACTCAGGTCATGATCTCAGGGTTGTGAGATCAAGCCCTGCATCATCAGGCTCCACGTTCAGTGTGGAGTCTGCTTGGGATTCTCTCTCTGCCCCTCTCTCCACTTATACATGTGTTTGTTCTCTAAATAAATAAATAAAATTTTTTTGAAAAATGTATATGATACAATCTTAACTACATATATATATGTGCATTAAAGAAAGACTGGAAAGATATATATAATCATGTTAAGTGTAACTTACTACTAATTGGTAAAATTTATAGGTAATTTTCATTTCCATCTTTATAATTTTATACAATGAGCAGGTAAGTCCTAAGTCCCTGATTTTATAGGGACTTAATAGACATTGTCGTTACTTTGTTTTCTAGCAGTACTAATGAAGATGAGGATTTGAACCCAGAACAGAAGATAGAAAGGGAGAAAGAAAGGCGGATGGCTAACAATGCTAGAGAACGTTTACGTGTGCGGGATATTAACGAGGCATTCAAAGAGCTTGGTCGAATGTGTCAGCTCCATTTAAAGAGTGAAAAACCCCAAACAAAACTCCTTATTCTTCATCAGGCCGTGGCAGTCATCCTTAGTCTAGAACAGCAAGTCAGAGGTAAGTAGGTTCAGCAAAGATATATAACTATTCTGGCTTAGGTGGGCAGACATTTCTTTTTCCACTTGCTCTTCTGCTTGGGAAGTTGTTTGTTAAGTTCAACTAGTACTTCTACCACTGCATCATCTGGATCAAGTTTTCTCTGTAGTTCTCTCACCTCTGTCTCATAATATTCGTCAGTATCTGTAGGCTTGATCCTTCCCACAAACCAGTAGAGCACAGTCCTTTGAAATGCTGCAGAGAATAGCCAGCCTCTTCTTGCTGCTCAGCATTAGTGCTTTATGTCCCTTTGTTCTTGTTCTTGTTAAGTCTGGTCTCCCACACTGTTGAATTAACCTGCCCAGACCTGTTTTCCTCCCTGCTCCTTCCTGTCTTCCCTGTTCTCTGTATGGAATTTCTCGCCTGCTTTACCCTGGGCCATCTATTAAAATGGCCTTGCTGATTAATAGGATGCCTGATCCTGGCCCCTCCTGGCTTTACTTCATATGGATGTTCTTTATACCCAGGTCAGTATGGTCTCAGGGCTTATTGGTTGATCCCTGATCAGGAATGCCATGAACTTCTTGGCCTAATATGCACTGACATGCTTGTGTGTTTCTTAGGGCAAAAGTATGGTTTATTACAGGCTTATCCACTGCTGACTCAGACAAGTGCCCCAGCTGTTTTATCTTTCAAGAAGTTTGATGGAATATTGAAGAAGCTTTGAAACTACATTTTTTGAACAAGTATTTATTGCACACCTCCTGTCTCAATTACCTATATGCTAGACCCTATCTTACCAATCAATACAAGCTTCCTGCCATTGAAAGTTTTTATGATTCAGCTTGATTTTTTTCATATACCTCATTGTCTTCTTATCCAAAGTTACGAATGTTTTATCCTAAGTCTTTTGGCAAAGAACTATAGATGTGCCCTTGGATTCCAAACCCTACCTCTACCTTCTCTTCATTAAGAACAACTCTTTCTTATTTAGTGGATGTTTATATGGGATTTTATTTAAAGATAAAATTGGAAAAGAAAAAAGAATACGAGTGAGACACTTAACAACTATAACCATGGACCCTCAGCATTGGTCACAGAAAGAACACTCTATCTAAGGAAACCAGAGTTTAGAGAACTTGAATACACTTGCAGAAAAAGTTAACCATAGTAATGAATTGATCCATCCACTTCCCTCCAGTATATTTAAATAAGAATGATGAGTAGATTACTTCATGCATAACCAATCTACCATTAAAACCAGATACTTGCTCCTATTAAGGCCCTTGGAATATCTGTAAAGGGTAAATGTTAATGAAACCTGATTTTCAAGAATGTATAGACTCCCTTGGGATGCTCATACAGACAGTCTGATTGTTGCAGCTCATCTGTGGTAGGATCAGTGGTTCCTTGAACCTTCAGTATCTTCTGTCACTTTATCAAAGTTTTTTTTTTTTTTCAATGTGTCTGACAACTTTTATCTCACTCTGAAGGCAGTGAGGCACCTGTGCTTATTGGTCCCAGTACATTCATCCTTCTGCTCTGCATACCCAAGATATTTTCTACCCTGACTCTCCCCAGCCATTTGTTGTCAAGACTCTTGTCACTACCTGGACTGTCTGGACAGCAGTGGTCCCAGAACTTATTCCTGTACAGCTTTCCTTCCCACTGTTTATTAAAGCTAGAATACGAGTCATTTGTTTTTAAAAACATTTTGTTTAATATCAGAGGTACCTACTCTCAGATCTAAGTCATCAAAATGAGAAATACCTCTGTGTTTGAAAAAAGTTGTAAACTCCACCATGCCTGGGTGGATTTTATTCATTCACTTGCAAGATTTTACTTTGTAGTGGTTCCATGTAAGTAGCTAGGACAGAAAAGCTGAGTCTGAGAAGATGTAACAGCTAAGCTCATCCAACTGCCTGATAACTTTCTGGTCACTGTTAATGGGTACTGACTTTTTTGTGCAGTTCTGGAAAGCTCTATATAAGGAGCCATTGACTGATTAGAGTTTGAACAGAATTTAAAATACACTGACTGTAACTTCAGTTAGGGGCTGCTTTCATATTCATAAAAGCCTACCTTCCTCCCATCCTCAGACTCTGGGCTTCAAAGCCCAGAGCTTTTATTTTATGTCTTTAATGTAAAAGCCTTGGGATTCATTCAAGATCCTTCTTGAAAGGCACTCTGATGGCTGTCTGTCAAAGAGGATTTAGAACCCTTCATGCAGCCCACATACCTCTGCCTTGCTATGGCAGCACCTTTATTGTTTAGTATGACCACTGTCTTCTCTGGGCATTACCTCCAGCAGTTTTGAGTTATTTGAGTAACCTGTTTACATCTGAGAGCCTTTTCATCCCTACAAGGGTTCTACCCGGCAGTCCCTGGGCCCAGCAGTTTCTGTAAAGAGGTACATTTTGTTTACATGACTACTTTGGGCATTCTCTGCACTCTTTTTCCTCACCTTCTGGTTTGGGATAGTGCTTCAAGACTGTATCTGGCTATCCACAACCTGTCATCCCTGGACAAGTGGCTTTTTCAGGAGGGCAACCAGCAGTGTATTCTGGAGAAGAGCAAGAGGAGTGGCTTCCCTTCTAAGCCTCAGATTTTGCCAGAGCACTTTTTGTGCCTTGGTGCTTCACATACCAAATTCTACTTGATCCCTGCCATTGCCAGTTTAAATCTTTCCATTATGACAACTATAATGTCAACATTACAATTTTACTAATCTTCAATAGATTTTACATATTACTTTGAAGTTTGTACTCTCACCTTTACTAACGATTAGATTAGTGGTCAGACATTTCCTCCTCAAAGTTTCACATGTCTGCTCAATCAGCTTACTTCCCTTCCAGTAATAATTTAGGGACAATAGAACTATTAGGATTTTAGTTTCCTGGTCTCTTAGTAAGTTTGAAGATAAATGAGCTAAGACAGTGGTTCCCAAATCGGGCTGGTCCCAGAATCACCTGAGGCTTTTCCTTTTCCCAAATTTCCAGACCCTACCCTTAGGAGATTTTAATTTAGTTGCAGTGATACGGTAATACATAGTAGTCTTAGCATAGTCATTGATAATACTCCTTACTAAATCTTCACTGAAATGAATAAAAATAGTATTAATCCACAAGGACAGATGGGAGAAAAGATTGTAATATCCAAATCAGAGAGCAAAATATGTATGTAAGATGGAAAGCAGAGTAATGGTAATTGACTTATTTAGACAGAAGAAATTAAGTGGGGCAGGGAGGAATACCAACAGGAAGCAGATCATTTTGTCTCACAAAACTCCTAGCCCCCAAAAGGTCCTATTCTTTGGAGGTGCTAATACTGGAGAAGGCATTACCTGAAAACAGGAAGATTAACCAAAGGTCTGTCTGCTATGAAAAAATTGGATCCCTCATCAAAATATCATCAGACTTCTAGACAAATAATGCTGGATTCCAGGAGCTAGTAGGGCAGTGCCTTCAAAATTCTGAGGAAAAAATCATTTTTAACCTAGAATTCTATATCTACCCAAACCATTAATCAGAGCGTGAAGATAAAATAAAGATATTTTGGATATGCAAAGACTTTAAAATTTTACCTCCTACATACATGTTCTCAGAAAGCTTCTGGAACGTATGCTTTAGCCAAATAAGGACATAATCAATAAAGACAAAGGCATATGATCCAAGAAACAAAGAATCTAACACAAGAGAGCATCAAAAGGAGATCTCATGACAAGATCTAGTAGGCCTAGAAAATCAATGTGCCTACACATTGAAGATAGAAGATGGTGGGGCATCTGGGTGACTCAGTTGGTTAAGCTTATGACTTCAGCTCAGGTTGTGATCTCAGGGTCCTGGGATCAAGTTCCCCACTGAGTGGGGAGTCTGCTTCTCCTCTGCCCTTCCTCCTGCTTGTGCTCTCTCTGTCTCTCTCTAAAATAAATAAAATCTTTTTAAAAAAATAGAAGTTGGTTAGCTGCAGAAGAAAGAAAGGGATTTTTCCCAATTTTCTTTCCAGGGTAAGAAAATGGAATTAATAGATGAAATGATGGTATGTTTGAGATTTTGGGGTAGGGGGGGAATGTTGATAGGCATTTGTTAGATCTATTGAAGCATGGGTCAGGGGGACAAAATTAGCATTACTAGCAAATGAAAAGCAAGGCAACTATTAACTTCAGGAAAAACAAACAGTCATACAAGCAAGGAAACAATGTAAAATTCTTGACTTGCAAGTATGTCCCCATAGTTATTATAACAAATATTTATCTAGTCATAATAATGTAAGAAGTGACTATGCAGTTAGCCAAAAATTGAGCTTTATTTTTTTTTTTAAGATTTTATTTATTTGACAGAGACGCAGCAAGAGAAGGAACACAAGCAGGGGGAGTGGGAGAGGGAGAAGCAGGCTTCTCGCTGAGCAGGGAGCCCGATGTGGGGCTCGATCCCAGGACCCCAGGATCATGACCTTAGCTGAAGGCAGACACTTAACAACTGAACCACCCAGGCACCCCAAAATTTGAGCTTTAGATACATTGAGAAGATGGTATTTTAAGAGAGCCAAGTCCTCAATTACATACCCAAAGTCAGTAATAGAATTACTGTAATTGAAATGTAGGAAAGACAATCACTTTTCATGTCCTGCAGGTAATGTCTGCTCACCTGTACATCAGGCCTTCTGGCTACTTAATACATTTGCCATGGGCTGCTCACACACACCAGAAGGTATTAAAAGACAACACTAGCATCTGCCTTTTTTGGATCAAAGCTCACTTCACATTTTCTAGAGCTTATTCTCTTGGTTCTTATATCCCTGAGTGTTCTTTGTCTGACTGACCGCGGAACTCTTGCACGATGTTGCCTAACTTGAGTTTTTGGCTCTGGTCCTCTCTAGCTATTCTGATCATGCCTGCTAAATCCTTGTGTGACACAGGGTTATAGTTAGCTAAGGGCAGTGTTTTTTATGAGATAAATGTGAACCTGTTTCAACTGGAAAACTTTCAAATCTCACTTTCTCCTCTTTGGATTTAACATGTTAATTTATACTCTCTTTTCAGTCTCTCCGGTCATTATATGAGACTGCTCCCTGCACAGCAAAGGGACATGACACCTAATAAAAGAACTCTAATTATTAGTTAGAAGTGCAGGGGCGCCTGGGTGGCTCAGTTGGTTAAGCAACTGCCTTCGGCTCGGGTCATGATCCTGGAGTCCCGGGATCGAGTCCCACATCGGCCTCCCTGCTCGGCGGGGAGTCTGCTTCTCCCTCTGATCCTCCCCCTCTCATGCTTTCTGTCTCCCATTCTCTCTCAGATAAATAAATAAAATCTTTAAAAAAAAAAAAAGTGCACATTTACTTGTTAAGAAAATAATTCCTGATATTTTTACATAATGATGAACATGGCTTTTTATTTTACTACTTACCCTAATAATAAGTGTGTACCTTTCTTTCTTCATTGATCTTCCTCATAGTTGAAGAGCCTTTATGTCTTTTCCTAAATGCAGGGGCTGAGAAAATAAGAACTCTAAAATGAAATTTTATCATTGTGCATGAGTAACAGTCAATAGAATCAGCTGAGTTAACCATAATAAAGTCTTTTGTCTACTTTTTTTAAACTCAGAAGTGACTATAAATATGTATTGTAAATGCATGTTCAAATACATTTTACTTGGCTTAGAAGAAATACATAAAAAAAGAAGAGACCTGCTGTGTTGCATTCAGCTGGCCATTTCAAGAAAATCTAACAAAATTCACAACTTCTGCAAAATATGGTTTTCATTATAGACTAACTTTTTTCCAGTTTTTTTCTTTAAAGATTTTATTTTTTTTATTTTTTATTTTTATTTTTTTTTTCTTTAAAGATTTTAAGTAGTCTCTACACCCAGCATGGGACTTAAACTTATGACACCAAGATCAGGAGTCGTATGCTCCACCACTTGAACCAGCCAGGTGCCCCAAGATTTTATTTTATTTTATTTTTAAAGATTTTATTTATTTATTTGATAGCAAGAGAGGGAACACAAGCAGGGGGAGTGGGAGAGGGAGAAGCAGGCTTCCCGCCGAGCAGGGAGCCTGATGCGGGGCTCGATCCCAGGACCATGACCTGAGCCGAAGGCAGACGCCTAATGACTGAGCCACCCAGGCGCTCCCCCAAGATTTTATTTTAAAGCAATCTCCACACCCAGTGTGTGGCTTGAACCCACCACCCCGAGATCAAGAGTCCCATGCTCTACTGACTGAGCCAGCCAGGCACCCCTTCATTACAGACTAATTTTAAGTGATCCTTTTATATTACATTCATTAGGACATTTTTAATCAGTTCATAAAAATACATATAACAACTTTTCACTTTTATGATATTACCAGAAACAAAAAATGAACCAGAAGCTGTCATGGGTTAGATATCTTGTGCTTAAAACTCATTTAAGGGGGCAACCTGGGTAGCTCAGATGGTTAGGCATCTGCCTTCGGCTCAGGTCATGATCTCCAGGTCCTGGGATTGAGCTGCAAGTCGGGGTCTGCTTCTGCCTCTACCCCTGCTCATGCTCTCTCTCTCTCTCTCTCTCTATCTTTCTGTCTCAGATGAATAAATAAAAGCTTTAAAAATAAATACATACATACATACTCATTTAAGGAAAAGATACCATGAAAAATAATTCCCAAGTGGATTTTGATCCAGTGGGTCTCCAGTCCAATGGCTTTTCTTTCCCTTTATTTCACATAGAAAGACCCCCTACTCTTGAAAATGCCCACTTCAAAAATTCCATCTAGTTGTCTCTGCTATCTTATATACAAAGCAGTAGAGAAGGTTTTTATCACCCTTTTAATCACACCTCTAGCAGTAGAAAGAACCATTCAATCATCTCGTTCTACATATAAAAGTAGAAAAGCAAGGTAATATGCCAGCTACCTCTCTCCCTTGAGGAGTTGGCACATTTTTTATAGAGGAATGGCTGTGGGTATCTATTTTATCATTTTCTAAGCTGATAAAATTCTATAAAGCACAGATGTCTCTCTCCAGGTACATAAGAGAATGTCAGCATTCATATCAATCCAATGTACCATATCTTAGGACACTGAGGAGATTTGGTAGACTAACAACAACACTTGCCAAAATGTTTGAGTAAAGCAGTAAAAGAACTGCCTTTACCTTTAGATGTTGATGTAGATCAAAGCAAACCCTAGAAGACTACATCAGAAGCAGAATAAGAAGAAAACACCAAATACTCACTAAAAAACATAAGCTTAGAGGCTTATTTAATCTGAGGGTTTATGTAAGCACATCATTGTTGCCTCTGTGTAATGTTATTCAGTGTGGGAATGAAATTGCAGAGAGTGGTAATCCCCATAGAAAGAAAACATAACAATTTGTTCAGTTTAAGACCTAAGAGTCCCTAATTCCTAACTTATAACGATAAAAATTATTTTTCCCTGTTTCAGAGAGGAACCTTAACCCCAAAGCAGCCTGCCTTAAGAGAAGGGAAGAAGAAAAAGTTTCTGCCGTATCGGCAGAGCCGCCAACCACACTGCCAGGAACCCATCCTGGGCTTAGTGAAACTACCAACCCTATGGGTCATATGTAAACATCAGCCAGGTAAGTATGGGAATGAAAAGGAAGTGCAAGGAAATTACCTGGTTCATCTTAAACTAAGCTAGAACTTTTGAATAGAATTCTCTGGTGGCAGTGGTCATGCTAAAGGTTACAGGTAATTTGAAATCCCAACAGTTTACCTTTCTGTTGTATAACCATACTTAGAGAGCCAATGTCCTTTAAAATCAAATTACTATTCAAAGTGTGATAGTATCTTATAATTTACAAAGAATTTTGGGTTCTCCTGCTCTGGATCATCATGTATATGCTCTCACATGAATACTACTCTGATCCAGGAAGAAAATAGTGCAATGACTAATCTGTCAAATAACTTTGCTACCACTCATAGTCCTCATTCTCAACCAGTTTTCTCTTAACCATCTACCTCTTCTTGTCATTAAATCTTTATTCACAAAAGAGTTACTGCTTGCTTCCATTTGGATCAACAATGCATTTTCTCTCATAAGCATGTAAGCATATCAGTTACACCTTCTGGAATCTACTAATGAATGTAAAGGTATTACATCTGATAGAACCACAGTGCCCTTCTCTCTGGAATTTTACATGTTGAAAAACTGTTTTTATCTTTCCCTTAATGGATTAAACACAGGTCACTTTCTTACGATTTTTTGTTTAACAGTGTGACAAGGGTAATATGAGGTTGTTGCCCAAGCAGTTAATGTGAATCATCTTTTTTCTTAAAGATATACATTTACATGATCTATAACAACCTAAATTGTAGTTATTATGTAGGTGGCAGAAGTTAATATAGAATGTAATTAAATATTTTAACTAGCAGCATGGATTAGAAATACATCTGGGAACTTCATTTTTATAATCTGCCTGCAGCAGTGTGTAGTTCTTTTCCCAATTTCATCAGCATGTTAAAAGCAGTAAATAAAAGTGAATGAATGGGAGGTGTGGAGCACAAAAAAAATATCAAGTGCAATTTCATTTGGTCAGCTTTATAGCTATCTCATTCTGAGCTGAAAATCTGGAATTTGGTATTTTGTAAACTACAACATAACTGCCCTTTTCCTGAAGAATTTGGTTCCTACCACCTCTGTATATATCATTCCTAAGATCAAACTAGACCAAAACTGAAGAGTTAGTTTGGGGACAAAAGGAAGAAGGGTTAATGTGATTAAGTGTCCGTTATACTTGTCACACTAGCACACTGGAGAAAACTAACCCACCTCCCCCACAAAACAATACCCAGCAACCTAAAAGATTATGCAAGTCAAAGAGACTTCAGGCAAGAGTTAACTTACAGTTCCTTTAAAACTCATGTCACTGTTTCATATTTTGTGGAAAATATAGAATATCATGAAAAGATAGATATTTTTGTTCAAAAATAGACTTTAACGTTTTAAAATAAAAACATGCTATTGTTTTTCAATGTTTCTAAGTTGGCAACTCATTTTAAAGAAGAGTGATGAGGTAACTTGTTAATGCCACTATGTTTCATAGCCACCGGGCTATGAAAAGAGCACTTGATGTTGAGTTGTCACATTTATCACAGAGCCTCTGTCTTTCTTTAGTTGTACCCATTTCCTCTTACTCTCTTCCTGGTCTCTCTCCCTACCTCACATCTCTCTCCCTCCCCTGTTTACTTCCTGTTCTTTTACTGCTTCTATATCTAATACTGCTTTTATGTCTCTACCCTTATCTCAAGAATGAGGAAATTCCACCACTTAAGTTAAAATTAAACCTGGGCATTCTCACCTATCAAAAAGAGATGAAGAATCCTTTAAAAAAAAAAGTTTCAGGGTTATAAGAAATGTAGCAAATTTACTTGGTTCCATAAAATTTCATAGGTTAAGTGTTTATTATCTTAACATATGTTTTAACGGTTGCTAATTTCAAAAAGGTGGTTGTCTGGTTTCACCTTATAACTTTCGGTTCTTTATAGAACCGAATAACAGATTAAAAACCAGCAAAAGACTGGGCAGCAGGAAAATGACTGCTAGAACCAAAATGGCTGATAAAGGATCACAGAATGACTGACTATAAAAGCACAGAATTTGCCACCACATGATACAAGGCCAGGTAGCTTTGAATATCTGTTATCCATTTCTAAGAGCATAACTCTATTATAAAACAATACTGTGGTTATTGTTTAATAAAGAAGTGAAAGGTATGATTCTTCGTAAAATTACTATTATCAAAAGTGGCTAAAATGGAAAATTTCAGTGTTTACTACTATGTAAATTGAGACTTTTAAGTGTATAAAATTTGTACTAATACCAGTAAAGTTTAATCATTCATTCATTCATTGAACAAACATTTATTGAGGACCTTCTGTGAACCAGGAGCAGGAACCATTGTGAAAACAAATACCAGGGGTGCCTGGGTAGCTCAGTCATTAAGCGTCTGCCTTGGGATCAGGTCATGGTCCCAGGGTCCTGGGATCGAGCCCCGCATCGGGCTCCTTGCTCTGCGGGAAGCCTGCTTCTCCCTCTTCCACTCCCCCTGCTTATGTTCCCTCTCTCGCTGTCTCTCTCTGTCAGATAAATAAATAAAATCGTAAAAAAAAAAAAAAGAAAAGAAAACAAATACCAAATGGTCCTGCCTTCAGAAACTTTCAGTTTAGAGAAGGTGTAAACTATTAAGACATTATGGTAGACTAGATGTATCAGTCTTTACCATTGTCTCTCCATTGAAAAATGGATGAGTGGAACCTCAGAGCTCAGGTATTGGCAACTTGAATGTTGCCAAAATAGAAGTTTGCATAATTGCCCCAGCTGTTGTATAATCCTATATCTTGTGATTTCTATGATCACATGATCTCCTTTACAAATCTTACCACACTATTTCAATTACACCTTAAAAGAAATTCTGAAGCTCTTTTATAAGTCATTTAGCAGACTGCTAATTTAGTATAAACCTGGGTATAAATGAGGAATATCAATATCAACTTGTTTTTTTCTGTTGTTTTTTCTGGGGAGGTATTTATTTTTAATGATGATGTCCTAACTGGTTCTGTTCTTTCCCTTGGCTCTCCTGCCACAGTTCCAGAGTTATCAGTAGGCTAGATAGAAGGTGACCTCTCCTCATAAGGACTTGGACAACTCAGATTATCTGAAGACACAAACCTGCTAGGAGGGAGAAGAAAAAACAAAACACTTGAAGCAAGAAACTCAAATGTAATCCTACGATCAAAGCAACTGGTCAACACTTCCATCAGAAGTGAAGATAGGAAGCTCATCAGATAGAACGTCAGCCCATGAAATGTTTGCAGCATATCACTTTGTTGCAAGCAGTGTGTCGCTTCTGCACAATCAGAGACTGTCTCGATCTCTCCACTCATCGTGGAAGTTGCCTTGTGCCTAAACTGAATTGACAAATGCATTGTAACTACAAATTTTATTTATTGTTATGGAACTGTAAGGTCTACATATAAAGGGAAAAAGTTAATGTGGAAAGCTGATCTAAACTCAGCTGATGCCAGCATTCGTTAAAGCTGTTCACGTGCAGAACAAAGCAGTGACAACCATTGGCCCTTAGCATTCCCGGCATACCTATTAGTGTCTTAAAAAGGAAGGGAAAAGTCTTTTGTTTGCCCTCTCCTATCCTTTTGCCATATGAATAGTGTTTTCCATGAAATAGGAAAATATTACTTGGTATAGCATTTCTTTCGCTCTCATTTTTTCATTCATTTTTATTTTCTCTTTGTGGGTGTTATATTTGGTCTCTGAATCTGAATAGTTTATGGTCACAATCCAGAATCCTCATGTAGTCCTATGTGCTTTGCATATTTACCTTACAAAGATCAACAGAGACCATCTGTGACCATAGCCTAGCTAAGATTTTAAAGGGGGAAATTTTGTCCCCTAGATTTTCCCCAAAATAAACATTGCTTTATTTCTAATAATAACCAAGACTTTTCAAGCTTCTAGATTTCATAGTAAAGCTTGTAATAGCAAGAGTGTAAATTACAAGGGAAGAATCTACTTCTTAGAAATTGCTTTGTTTTCCAAGCAGTAAGTACTACATATAGTACTTGTAAAGTGTTAGCTGTAAAGTAAGCACAAAAATGGATTTAAAATACAAAGAAGATTTTCAGGCTGTGATTATGGTGACCGTAACAAAACCCAGTAGTCACCAAGGCAGGTATGTGATAAATGACCACACCACTCTGAGGCTAATTACCAAACGGAATACAAGAGCAATGGTCACCTGTGTTTCCTTATCCTCGCCTTTATTTCTCTATCACTTGGATGGCTGGTCAATGGGGAGGAATTCAGTGGGTGATTTAATCAACCACAAACCATCTGCCCCCGTCCCAAGAAGATGAGCCAGATTAGCCGTAAACTAGTGCTTGTCAGTCCATCTTAGCACCGTACATTAAGGCACCCCTCTGTTTCTAATCCTTCAGAGTTGTTTTTTAAGATATCATAATCACTTTGAACTTCCATGAAATCTGTCTTCCACCACAACAGCCCTGGGAGAGAAAAACATACTAAACAAGGTTGTCTTGGCTTAATAATTCCTTATGGCCAGTATCAACAAAGGCAGTCAGCACACAGAAGAAAGGACCCAAATCACTCTGTAACTTTAAAGATTTCTGTTAATTTGAAAGAACAAAAACAGTTACGACAGGACTTTCACATCCTCCAATCAGGATGATTCCTAACGAATCTGTCTTTTGTGAACTTAGTGGACTTTTTGGTTACTTTAATTTGCATATATTCTCCAATTACATCAGACTCTATCTGTGGCCTTGTTCTTCATTTCAGTGTTAATCAGCTAAACAGAAGTTGTTGCTTATGATGTGTGAGTGAGCATACGCCACTGCCTGGCCTTTTTTTCTTCAGAGCTTGTTGTCTTTTTCGCTATATTAGACTTTGCAGTATGCCCAGAAGCTTTCCTTCATAAAATAGAAAGAAAAAACATTTGGCTTATTTTTCACTGTAGCTAGTCTTTTATACAATAATCTTGTAAGAAAATTTCTTGAATTCTAAATATTACTCTTTCTAGATTTTTGAAATCGAAAAGTTTTCAGTAAAAAGTTTCTTACTTTATTTTATTATATTAGGTAGTAAAAATGTAGGGTTATTTACCATAACCTGTTCATTAATATCAGAAATTTACAATAGCATTTTAAGACCATAGTAGGATTCTAGCATACCGTGTAGTACCTATGGAGTATTGTAAGAGCTAATTGTCCGAGATGAATTGCTTCTCATCTTGTTCTCCAGTTTCCATTGTTGGTTTATTGCAGATTTGTATCCTGTGTCAAATTCAAGGTATTATTGATAAACCTTTTCAACCAGCAGCAAGAAGTTCAAAATTTTTTCTGTCACTGTAACAGAAAACACAATATGTATATAACATTTATGTAGCAATAAATGTGCCATCTTTTTTTTTAACATAGTAAACTAGTGAGTTTTTTACATTCCTCTCTTAAAGAATAATGCATTTTGTTCTCTTCTCCATCTCATTCCTCCCACACTGCTTTTCTTTTTTTCCTCCAGCTTTATAGAGATATAATTGACATTATAACATTGTGTAAGTTTAAGGTGGACGATACTATGATTTGAGATCTGTATATATTGCAAAATGACTACCATAGTAAGGTTAGTTAACATACCTAGCACCTCACATAATTGCTTTTTTGTGTGTGTGGTGAGAATTTTTAAGGCTTACAGTGCTTTTCATAATCTGCATTATCTATATTATCTGGGAAGCCCGTCAGGACAGAATCAGGCTTGTGGAACTAAGTTGGTAATCTACTTTGTAGTTGCCCTGGCTTGTGTATTTCTCCCCTTGCCCTCTCTACGGATAGTGGCCTTTCAGCCTTTTTCTGAAGGTTGACCAAACAGTGATTAGTAGTTAAAATCTGCTCTCTTGCAGATCGAGAGAAAAGCGAAGATGGAAAAACACTCAAACGAGGCTTTTCAAATTAACATTTTTCAAAATTCTTCACGTTTTATATTCCTTTTCTTACAAAAAGCCTCTGTCGTAAGTAGAGACTGGTATTATTTACTGTTTTCAGATGAAAATTTCTGTTTTCATCTAGGTTTTCACACAATGCCACCCACCCATCACCACCAAAAATATGCATAGAGACTATCCATGAGGACTTAATGCCAAGCAAGAACCTGAGACAAACTGTAGACAAACTTTTTTGGACAAACTTTCGGTAATGTAGGGCCTGTGTGTAAGAGACCCATGGTTGTGATCACACCCTCTTGGGATCCTGGCAAATTGCTTCTCTTGGTTAATTGTAAAGACCACTGTTCACACTGGAGGCCCAACAGATCATTTTACTAATTGTGGGATATGGTGAAAGCAATTAAACATTGTACTTTGATTTCTCTTTATACAAAACAGTGAAGTAAATAAAAAGCTCTAAGAAGAAAATACAGAATGTTAGAGCTGAAATGACATCTAGACACCATCTCATCAACTGCCTCATTAATAGATTCTAGAAACTGAGGCCCAGAGAGGTTGTATGTCTCCCAAGAGCACATGATCAGTAACAGATCAAGACATTTAAAACTTCGACAAAATCTCCCTGCCTTTCTTTTCCTTTCTCTCTTTATCGATGTTTAGGCCAATTTTATTCAGTGGCTTTGTTTTTGCTTCCTCTACCACATTTTTTTCTCTCTTGTTTTTCCTCTCCTCTGGTTCCTATATTTTTTTCTTCTATGGAAACTCAAAGTTTGAATCACATCATGTGTAAATGCGTGTGTACTGTTTGTGTGCATAAAGATTAAAGAGTATTAGCTTTGGCATCAAACAGTCCTCAGTTCAAATCCAAGCTCATCTAATTAGCTCCATTTCCTCACCTGAAAAAATGGAGATAGGTATTAGAATTGTGTAAGTATTGAAAGAAACAATGTATGGAAAGCTCTTACCACGGTTCCTTTCACATAAGTACTCAATAAATGATAAATATTTTTTAAATAAATAATAGCTTTCCTTAAAACCAGCTCCCAGGATGATTCCTCATTAGGCATCCTGTGAGAGGTAATGGTGGTCCAGTCAACCCCAAGAGATGTTGACCCATCTTTGCAGTGGTCTACATTCTTTTGGGGCAATCCAAAGAAACATTTATTTTCAGCACCCTCCTATGGCTACAATTTATGAGGACTATTTTTTAAGCCTTCACATTTTAAGAGCGAGCCAGTAGGCTTTGGCCGGTCACATTGTGCGAGTTGGCAGCTGTGTCAGTTTGGGTCCTCAGGAAGCAGATGCCAACATGGAGTTAGAGGAATTTGTTAGGGGTAGTACCAGCGGGAAACAAAAGGGAAAGGAATCAGGCATAGTCAGGGAATGGCCTTACCATGATGCAGGTCTGACATCTGAAAGAAGAAGAGAAGGAAAAAGGATTAGGAAGGAAGAGCCTCAGGCTGCCTCGAGAAAGTCCCGAGCAGTCCGATGGAGTCCACGAAGATTGCTCATTGAGGGTCTTGCGTTGTGCAGAAATGGTAAGGTAGGACTGTCCCTGTTGTGGCCAGCCATTTCCTGGGAGTCACCTGGGAAGACAGAGCTCAGGAACACAGCAGCAAAGGTGCTGCCCCTGGATGCTGACCACCAACTCCCCCGACAGGTTCTCCCTCGAGGGGAGATGGAGATGGCCCGCCACAGCTTCCACAGCACCTCACTGCTATTTCCTACAAACTGGCAAAACCCAGAGGGTTTGCAGAGCAGTCGCTGGGACCATAGCTCATCGCAACAGGCTGATCAGTATTTGAAAAACTGCCATTCCACATTCAAGTAAACCTACACTTGTTACTGAGAAGGATGAACCCCATTCCTCCATTATTGTGAGCTGTGATACAGACTGGTGAATTTCTTCAGGTTGCTGTGTCCAGTGTTCTGATGTTCAGGGGACATTGTGATAATCCCTGCCGACTGGATGGGCATCTTTGTAGCCACCTGGATTTGGAAGGCTACAGTGTGCCCTCATCTTTTTGGGGTGTTCCCCTATGAGTGCCCCCAGCCCCAGGAGCTCTTACTCTGCCCTATACTGGGCATGCATGTCCATGGGACTAGAAATAACCTTCCTGTCTTCTTTTTCTTTCCCTCTTAAATCAATTATTCCAGAAGGCAACCCGAAAGGGTTTTTCTGTTTCCTGTGGCCTAGACCGCCAGGCTTTTTTTTTTTTTTTTAAGATAATTTACTCAGTTATTTGAGAGAGCATGAGCAGGGGGGAGGAACAGACTCCCTGCTGAGTAGGGAGCCCGACGTGGGGCTCGATCCCAGGACCCCAAGATCATGACCCGAGCCAAAGGCAGACACACTCAACCAACTTAGCCACCTAGGGACCCCCTAGACCTCCAGTCTTTTCCAAAAACTGATACGGGGTACTGCTGCATGCTGCCAGGTTCTCCTTTCTCACTACTGAGGGTCGATGCTCCACTAGACAGAGGCCTTGCTAAAGTCTCCAGGCTCTCTCAGCCTTTTATCCTTAGGCACTGTAAACACAATGCCCCAGGCCTCCAAGCCTGTGAAAACATTTGCAACCTGAAAAAAATATTATGGAGCTAAAAGGTAAAAAACTGCAAAAAATGGGGGCACCTGGGTGGCTCAGTCCATTAAGCATCCAACTCTTGATTTTGGCTTAGGGTTGTGGTCTCAGGGTCCTGAGATGGAGCCTGGTGTTGGGCTCCATACTCAGCGGGAAGTCTGCTCGAGATTTGCTCTCTCCTCTCCCTCTGCCCCTCCCCTTACCCCCATGGCATGAGCTTGCTCGCTCTCTCAAAAAAAAATTAAACTGCAAAAATGAAAGTAATTTTAAAAGTTACCTCAAAATTTCATAGCAAAGTAAAGTTACTTTTCAATGTGGGATTTGAGCTCACTTTAATGTATTTGTTTGGGGGGGTGGTTTATAAGATTTTATTTTTAAGCAATCTCTACACCCAACTTGGTGCTCAAACTCACAACCCTGAGATCAAGAGTCACATCTCTACCAGCTGAGCCAGGCAGGCACCCCTTAACATATTTGATACGATAGAGACTAGGATTTCAAAGGTCATAAAACCATTTTGGGTTTCTTCAATTCCAGTCTCTTTCAGTTACCACTTTTTCTTCTCTGTTTCTTGATTATCTCCTTGGGAAGAAACAGAACACTTGTCTTCCCCTCTTGGAGCAAAGCCCATCTCTGTATCCTGAAGATCTAACCTAGTGCCTAGGCCATTAGGACCCCCAGGGACAGCACAGATTTTTTTTAGAAGCTCTAAACAGACCCCTTTTCCCCTGCTCCCAGGCAGGATCCCTAGGGACCCTATGAGTTTTGGGGGTTTTTTTGTTTGGTTTTTTTTTTTTTTTTGCTTTCTCCCATTTCCCTGGCCTTCAACAGCCCTTTTTTTTCTTCAAGCCCGAGTCTCTTCTCGACCGTTGGTCCTTGATGGGCCAAGGTGGCAGCCCCGTGTTGGGAGCAGGCTGTGGCAGGGCCTCTGGACCACCTTGACCTGAAATATGACCCAGTCATTTGCCATGATGGTTTTTCTCCATCTTCTGAGTGCTCCCAGTGACCACCCTCGCAGCTCGGAGAAATTGGATGGTGTCTCAAAGCACAGTAATGAAGCTCCAACCTCTGCCTTGTAGGGCCTCGGGCATTTGAAAGCCCTGCCCCATGGGGGCCACCTCACACTCAAAGGTGCAGGCTAGAGGATCCTCTTTCCTGACACCTCCATCCCGTCAGACTGGGCCACCACACCTACTCATTGCAGGCCTCCCCCAGGCCATTCCACCTCATCCTCATTAAAGCCTGTGCTGAAAGGGGCAGGGTTGTTTTTCAGATTCTCAGCAGTGAGTTATTGATCAACGCTGATAGTGTGAGGAGCTTGATCTCACCCCGGGCTGGCAGAGATTAATTAGCTTGATTCCCAAGCATAATTCCTAATTAGGCATAGGAAGAAAAGAAAGAAAACACAAAGGAACTATTCTTTCCCGAGAACCACTGACCTTCTTCCTGTCCAGGGCTGGAGGGGGAGGAGCGGGAAACCGAGGAAGAAGCAGGTAAACATGTCCTAGCAGCCGAGGGCATCCTGCCTAGTCCAAACCTGGGGCGACCATCTCCCCAGTACAAACAATGCTGAGGAGGGGCTGCCTTCCTGAAAGGATCTCCTATGAAAATGCGTGTTTAATTTTTTTGCTTTGCTCCCTGCCTAATTATGCACAGGAAGGCACAATTAAGCAGGAGGCTTTGAAGTACCTGCTCTAGGCTTGCTCATCCACTGGGGGCTGAGGATGCCAGCAGAGGAGAACTCAGCTCCATTGGGCTGGGGGAGGAAGGTTGGATGGGGAAAGGGGTATTCGCCCTGAGACCGGGGTAGAGATAGCAAAAGAACCATTTCCTGCAGCTGGGAAGCAGGAGACCTCTTGCTCTATTACTGGCATTTTCTAGAACTTTCCAGCCAGG